GCTTCAGAGGAACGAGAGCCAGTTTATAAAGCACGCGATTCCCTACTCCCAGCACCACCGTAGCCGTAGCCGCAATCGCCACTTCCACCGTCCGATTTCTCTCTCTCGTCCTGCTATCCATCTCTTCCACACTCCGATCAACGACTCTCCGATCCTCGAGTGAGTAAGAGCACGCTCCCGCCTTCTTCGCCACATCTCCGCCATCCGATCAACTGTCTCTCTCGTCTTCAATCTCTACAAAGTGAGCCTGGCTCTGCCGTCGTTTGAGGTGATCGCCGTCTATATTCTCTCTTCCCCTGCAACTTAGCTGTCGAATGGTCTTACTCTGTCTTCTGCATCTTCAATTTGTAAGCAGTTTTCTCTTAACCAGCGTAAATCAATCAAGAACAAGAGAGTTAACATTTCATATTGGAATTGAATTACATAGATTTCTCATCAATTGAGAGTTACCTTCTAAAGCCCTAACTTTTTCTCTTCCTCCTTCCTGAACCCAGAATCCATAGAGAGAGGAACTCTCATTCTTCACTCTCAAACATGTTCTTCCACATAGTATTGGAGCGCAACATACAACTGCATTCGCGCCACTTCGGCCGCAACCTCCACGAGAACCTCGTATCCAAGCTCATGAACGATGTCGAGATTTTTATTTTATTTTATTTCTCAATTTCATTTATTTGATTATTTGAGAGATCAATGCTAGTGAATATGCTTAAAATTCTCTGCATCTCACCGTCAATTCTTTCATTGTGACAACCAGTGGTTATGGTGTAAATTGCTGAATTAATGTATATTCTCTATTCATGTATGTCACTGTACATATATATATACAAAAGAATTATATCAAAATCATAACTTAACTAACCTTGTGCCTAGAGTTTAGGAGAGTTATAACTGTATACAAATATGCTCCTGATTCCGAGAGATTTCTACCAGAAATTGTTTATACCAGATACTTTATACCAGATACTGTTTACTCTCCCCCTCAAATGAAGGTCATGAATGCCCAGCTTGTCCCGCATCAAATAAAAACTGTCCTTGCCCAATGCCTTTGTGAAAATATCAGCTGGTTGATGAGAGGAAGAGATTGGTAATGTGCAGAGACAATACCAGCTTGAAATTTCTCACGCACCAAATGACAATCAATTTCCAAATGTTTTGTCCTTTCATGAAAGACAGGATTGGCAACAATGTGGCGAGCTGCCTGATTATCATAGTAAAGAGGTGTGGAGCGAGATTGGCGAATACCAAAACTGTGTAATAAGTTGCAAAGACAAATGACCTCTTTAGTGATAGAAGCCATAGACCTATATGAGTGTTGTGGGTCATAATGGAGTAAGCTTACCATTCTCTTAGAAAAGTGTTTTAGGACTCATCCACCAGTCCAGTTAAATAACCAAACAAGAAAGGAAGTCATAGAATACACAAATCAAAACCAACTTGAAAAAGAGTGACGATGTGAATATTGTACTAAGCACACAGAGGGAAGTCTACCGGGCGGATCATGCTAGAGGACAGGTTCAAATGCAAAATATTAGTTTAAATATAAAACAAGAATGCAAAAGCTGCAATTGGCACTTAGGACTTTAAAATTGAAGAAACTATGAGGTCCATGAAAAGTGAACAAGTTAAGTTGAACAAATTAGAGAAAGAAACTCAAATGGATAAATAGCGAAAACAAAGAGTACAAAATCATTCAACTACACAAGTAAGGAAGCTGTAGGTTCATTGACTTCTTTGCACCAAATGTCATAAATCTGACACCCAATCCCCTAAGCAGCCCTCCTCCCTCCGTGGATTGCAGTAAAAATTATTCAAATTAAGTGATAATTTTAAAACTTGTTCTTGCCAACACTACCCACCTCTCATATCCTAATACCCACCATTCCTGTCAAAATCAACAGCAAATGCTAAGAATAAACTTAACTCTTGAAACCAAAAATCTGCACCAGAGAAAGAATTCCAAATAAAAAGCAAAAAACATTTACCTCAAAATGGAAATCACACTGGCAAAACACCCAAA